TCTCTCTCTCTCCACCCACTATGAACCAATCTAGCTGTGATCTATCCAGCCATCCATCCATCCATCTACTATTATCAATCTATCTATCTATTCATCAATCCACCTATCCATCTAATAATCTATTGATCTAATCTATCTAATCCATCTAATCTATCGAATCCATCCATCCATCCTATCCATTCATACATCCATCCATCCATCCATCCAATCCATCCATCCATCCATTCATCCATCCATGCAATCCATCCATCCAACCACTCAGCCATCCATCCATACACACACTCGCAAGCAACATACCTTCCATCCATCCAACCACCCAGCCATCCATCCAATCCATCTGTCCATCCATCCATACACACACTCACAAGCAACATACCTTCCATCCATCCATATACATACACTCGCAAGCAACATAAATTATTAATACAAGATATAAATTTAAACTTTATTGTGTAAACTAATATGCAAAAAATGAAATTTGTAATTTAAATCAGATTATTTTTTCTTTTTGTAATGATGTAAAATTTGAAACTTGGGGTATTTTGTTTATAGGGCATTTTAGGAGGACATTTTTTTGCCTTAGAAACCAAATTTGTGGATTTTTAGTTATTTGAACTTAAATACTATATTAGTTGCAATTTCATCATATGAATTAATATAGAAAAAAGTGTGTTTATTATTCAAAGTAAAGTACATTTTTTCTAACTTAAGGGTGATGTAAGACCTCGAAATAGATGTAATGTATAAGGGAAATTGTAAAATACTATGTACGATTTGAAGATAATAGAATGAGGCCAAAATTATATTTATTTTTAATTTCTATGTAATTTTAAAGGGTGTATATTTTGATTTTAGTTTTAGGATTTAATTTTAGCATTTTTATTTTTAGGAATTCTAGGGTTATTCTAGTTTCTTGTATTTATTTCATTGCTGAAACAGTTAGGACTTTTTAGATATTTTAATTAAAGTTAGAGAATTTAGTTTCAAGTTATATTTAGTTAGGACCTTTTGGTCAAAAGTTAATTGTATGGACAAATATTGTCCAAAACAATAATTTTTTAATATAAATAAAGACATGGATAAGCTGAAGAGTTATTCACAAGTACAATTCATGGTATTGTTCATAGTTACTGTTCACGAGTTACTGTTCACCAGTTACTATTCACGTGTTACCGTTCACAGGGGTATTTTAAGAGTTTTACTATTGTTTTAGGGGTATTTTTGAGTCTTAAATGTTTAGCTTATAAAAGGTTGGATATCATATTTTGAGAGGCAATGTTATTGGAATAAATTTTATTTTATGAAAGAAGAAAGTTTTTCTTCTCTTGGCTTGATTTACAGCCATGTTCTTTCTCCAATATTGTTGATTTTATTTGTTCAATGTTCAAGAAAATGGTGGATTTAATTTCCCACCTTCTCTTCCTATATCAAGTGGTATCATAACCCGCGATCTACACATAAGTTACTTTAGCAAGTACGGAAGCTACTGTAGCACGTACAGAGTTACTATAGCACCACTTCTTTTTGGTGCCCAAGTCAACAACAAAGAGGGAAAGTTATAATGGGGTCTAGGGTTTACAAATATTGACTAAATTTTTGCCAAATCAACCTAGATCTTACTAATTTAAGCAATTTTTTGCTGTTTACTTGCCTAGGATTTATGATTTTGACAAACCCATGGCAGCAAAAGGGGGCCATAGAAGGGGGGTTTCGTGGATCCGTTCTGTGATCCCATAGATGACACAATTGAGCAACTTGAAAGACAAGTTCAGCAGCTGGCGTAGCAATTCGTGAGGTTCAATAATGGGCAAGACGGTGATCTTTCAGCCCAAGAGGATCTCGAGTACAATTCTTTTCACTTTTGCGCTCTACGCGGGGAGTCGAGTGATGAGTATAGTGACAGAAGATCAAGATGTGGAGAACATTACTCTAGGATTTTCAATTTGAAGTATGAGATTTTTTTATTTTGACACCGATTATATGGAAAGTCAACAAATTGTAGATTCAGACTCACCACCAATCTTTGATATATACACATATGAACAACAAGATTTATTAGGAGATTCGATCTATGACAAGGATCAAGATGATGATGAAGATATTTTGGAAGATGGTGAAGAATATGGAGAGAAGGCAATTGGGGGAATGATCCAAATCATGGTCTTTGAAGATCTCATTAATATTGAAGAGATAAAGCATTCAAGAATTCAGTGTATTGGAATTAGCGTAGTGCAGTGGAAGCATAGTCGATTCAGAATCAGCAAATTGTAGCCCTAATTCATATCAAGATCCGTTTCTTGAGGAATTATCTTTACCACGAATAATATTTGACCCAACAAAGAAAAAGAAGGTTGAAGGTGTTTTTGATGCGGAATTCATCTTGGCACAATTCAAAGCTCAAGGACGAGTTTTCTCCAACAAGGGGAGAATGATGGAGGCAAAAATTATGTATATTTGTAATATCTATTCGATTTTAAAGGATGTATATTTTGATTTTAGTTTTAAGATTTTAAAGAAGCCTAAGGCTTGAGCCCTAGGTGGGAGAAAGCCTTAGGGTTTCTCCAAAATTGCTTATGTCAAGGTCTCTTGCTGATTTTCTATGTCTCAAAGATATATTTTCGATCAAAAATTTTCGGGTTCGATAATCTCAACCATGACAATGATCTAAATGAATTTTTCTTTTTCGAGATATATAAATATTGTTTTTTGAATTCCTTTTTTTACCATTCGTTTTAACTTTTAGTGCATGTAACATTTTTTTAACATCCATCCTATAAGTGGATGTTTGGTAGACAAGGGACCACACAGTAACAGGTGAGTCGGCCGACTCACCAAAACCGTATCCATATATAGAATATCCATATTTTATAACATTGTACATTCATAAGAAATTCACCGTATATAATATTTATTGCATATAATTACTTGTATGTTACCAACTAATAGAGTATGATACATATTCATACAATATATCGCCTTTCTATTATAAAGTATAAAAACCGCACATAAAAAATTGCTGGCATATTGTTTTTTAGAAATATTACTTTAGTTATTTAAAAACTTGTACGGACATTCTGGCCTCTTCTCTTCATTTGGCTGGCAAGTGAGCTTCTTGAGGAACATATGAATAAAATCCTATCACAATTAAGCTTGAAATTGCAGAGGACTAAAATACCATGGTCCCTTACCAAAACCTTTACCAGAGACAAACACCTGCTCAAGGTACTCTAGCAAGTGAACGGGCTCCGCTTATCTCCACATCCATGCGTCTTACTTAAAAGGGAAAATGTCCTTGGCCCTTGCCAGCACTTAGGGACAAACCCACTAGCCAAACTCAATTAGAAGTCAAAAAGCCACATCCCAATACCACAAATGGGAACAGAACTTACTATGCTTATGTCGCTTAGCCTGCACCTTGTTGCTACCTTGACATCAGCTCAAACATCATGTAGTAAGCAGAAAGGTGTCTAACAACATTACAATTCCTGTCATGATCATAGTTGCTCTCAACGATTTCAGACTAGAGAGCATCTGCTCCTCCCCAAAGTGGTCATGACATTTGGGCAGGGCAGAGAGCTTGATCCATTATCCTCAAGCACCTTATGCCCCTGAGCTCCTGACACCATGGATTACAAACATCCTCCCACTTGACACAACGGTGCATATGAATGTAGTTCCCCATCCTCCAAAGAAATTCCCCGAGAATTCTCTAATTTTTAGGTCACCCTCACATAAACCTAGGACCTAGGATATTGCAAGATGTTCCAGAGAAGTAAACTCTCGCTCCTAGGGAAAGGAATTGACCATTTCATAGTGTTCAAATTCAGTCAAATTTCCAAAGATATTTTTTTATGAAAACATAAATTTTTTATGTTAGGTAACAAACGAGGCAAAACTGCAACATAATACATGTTAAAGTATATGCCTAGACTTTAAACATTTCAAATACTACACATTCATACACACACTAAGATATAACTCCGATGCAACACTAGGCACCAGCCTAGTTATACACACAATAAACAAATCCTTCACAAAACCCTAGGTACCAACCTAAGACATGCATCTAGAATCCACAGGTGGCATCCTGATACCAGCAACCATACACCTTTGATTAATGGTTGGAGACACACATCGACATCGTCCCTATGTTTAAGGGAAGGCCACATAAAGCGATCATAGCCATCTCATGAACTTAGTGAGTAGTAGCGAAGAAAAAAAAATCATGGATCTAGAAGAGAATTATTTTTAACCATGATATTAAAGAAATCTATAAAAATGATAAGGCTCGATATAATACAAAACACCTTTACTTCAGATTTACGCAAAGTTTTTATCATGAACCGATCATCCTGAGACAAAAAAAAGATGCTTCCACTCTTTCCAGGTGAAGACAGCTCTCTAAGTGCTGCACTCCCACAAATAGACATCATATAATCTGCAGCATCAATCTTGAATAACTCACGCAAATTCCTGCAATCACGAATTTGTGCATAGTCACAAGAAAGCAAGTACGGCCTACAATGCATGTATCATGATTCTAAATATGACTATTACGAGAATCATATCATATTCATAGACATAGTTGATTAATAACCTTACAAATTTAGAATCAGATTAAGTAATGCATGTGTTGCACAAATAAAAGTTCATCCAGAAATTTAGTAGCAGAAACATCACAAGAGAGAGGTATGTACTTAGAATGACACTGAAAATACAATTAGGAGGTCTACTTATGAGCATACACATCATGCATGTCTTCTCGTGCATGTGCATATATGGTACAATCATACGAATGCAGACAAATGCAGCCATGTACAATATTCATTCATGGAGATAGGCAGCCATATAGAAAAGGAAAAGAAGTGGATGTGAATGTAATTAAAAACTCACTAAAATATATAATATGTCACCAGGGCAAGTATATACCGATTAAAATGTTTCTTTCTTTTCTTTTATGTTACCACCTAGATCACTTAACACGTGTCCAAATACAATTCTTGAATCAAGAAAATAAGAAAATATGCCAAGGATTCTCACTTGCATGCCATCAAACAAAATTTCATTCATTAGATGAATCTGAAAATTACATATAACTTTCAATGAATTCAAGAAAACATGGAAGAAGACAATACTGAATACATTGCCTCAGGTTATCCCCAAGGACTTCGGACACCCCACACCGGATCTCCTCCACAATTGGCACACGGGATCTTGGGCTTAACCTTATCTCACAGGTCAAGAATCCTAGGCAAAACGTCTTGAGAGCATGACATGGAATGGAAGAAATCCCAAAGCATAAAGCACAAGCACATGTACTATCTCTAGTCTAGGGAGTGCCACCCCTTAGTGGCTAATGCATGCCCCACAGGGTTTCACCACATCCCACACAATATTTTGAAACCCTAAAACAAAGAGAAGAAGAGAGAGAGAAAGAGAGAGAGAGAGAGAGAGAGAGAGAGAGACTTAAGTGTACCTACCTAGGAGGGAGAGAGATGCCAACTTTTGTTCACAAGTGTAGAGAATACACGCCCATAATTAATATTTATCGAGAAGAGGCTACGGTTTTGGAGTCTAGGGTTTTGCCATCATTATGAAACTTAATCTTGACCGTAGAGCTTGAAGATCAGTGGGGTGAAGAGATCTTAGCTCTTCATTCCTTAGATCAGCTATCATGATTAAAGGAATGAGCTAAAATCATTATCCCTCAGTGTCCATAACTCTATTCCCATCAAATATTTTGTATAGAGAAAATACTAGAATTTAACTTATTTAATTTTCATCAATCACTACACTTTCCTCTTTTAAAACAACCAACCTTATTTCCTAACACTTTCCTATTATCTTTCGTATTATTTCAAACCATCTAGAAGGCTTGCTTGACAAGCCACATAATGAGGAAAGGACGTGGGGCGTGCCACCTAGTGCAGCCCTATGTGGGCCCCACGCCCCATGTGGACTTTTATATAGTGGGACCAGAGCTCAAATGGGTCCCACATGCTCAAAAAAAATTTAGATTAAAAATAATAAATATTTTTCTCTCTGAAATAAATAAATCCATAAAATTGATTTTAGCTATTTAAAAATCATTTTTCTCTAAAATAAAAAATCCAAAGAGATGTAAAAAATCATTTTAATAATCTTAAATAAACAATATAATTAAACATATTAAAATGAATTTGATTAGAACTAGATCCAAAGAGTCAAGAATATCACAAATATACTGAGAACTCCATCTCGTCAAGAAACCACATCTCACTATCATCTTCTCGAACTGACCCAACAGTTTCAATGACCCACAGCAAATCTCAGGGGTTCATGCTTAGACTATCAAAATCAGCCAATAAATAAAGGAGACACAATCCTAGCATCATGGATTACAGGTCCCTCTCGAAGGACAAGTCCAGGTCCCATTCTAGCATAATACCTCATGGGTCCTTCCAACACAGCCCAATGCTGTAAGGAGACATCTATTTTGCATATGTACATGAAACACCCCCTCTCAAAAGGCCGCTTCCCAAACGGCTATCTAGTGTACATGCTGTGTGATGGTAATGGTCCTCTCCAGCCAACCACGCAGGGGTCACACCCAGTCACCTAGCCAACCACCCCGGACAATTCCAACCACATCAAGGGATGAGCGCACATCGAAACCCTTATAGGTAGTGCACAAATGCCCAGGGCTAAGGGTTTTAGACATCATCTCAAGCCTAGCCAGTCAAAACTCAGGTGAGTCACAGCATCAGCGATGCCTCACAGTCCATTCGGACCATACTCCCACTGGAGGCATCATATCAATATATGAATAAATTCAATACATGCTCTCTTAAGGCCTTTAAATGGCCATATAACCCCAACATATAAAGGATCATTTTTCAAAGCCTAGTCAATTATTTCAAAGCATATAGACATTTCAAACCCAAACTATTCAAAACTAATTACATACCATATAAATAAAGATTTATTATGGACAAGCAACATATCAGTTTCCAATGAATGCAATCTGTCACATATTATCCAATCGAAGCAACCAAATGGAAAACCAACTCACTACAGGAGATTATCAACTACTATTCAGTGAGCCCAGCACAAAGAAAACCATCCATCTTCATCTCATGAAGAATAATTTTCCAGAAAAAAGAAGTGAACCAATTGGATTACAAAGCATAGAAATAAGGAATACAAAATAAATATAGCACAAGCAGAACTAGAAGCATACCTGAAAACCATTGGACAATAGTCCTTCCATTTAAAATCTCCAGACTGGTGAGGAGGAGTTAACTGTGAGCCTTCTCTAGGAAAATTCATCCAAAAACTCGCACGAGGGCCGAAATCTGATGTTCGAGAATCACGTCTATGTATTGGCGTGATTTTTCCGACAGTGTACCTGTAAAAGTTCATTAATAATACGACATTAGTTACTTCATGACAAGAAAAAAATCTTAGTGTCAAAGTAGGATAAACTAAAGTGGCGTGGATTCATATTAAAACCAGTATCCTGAAATTTAAAGGTCTGCTGATCTGCGAGGTAAAGATAAAACTATAGAGGGAGAAGTCACTTGGATGCTGCATTTCATCCAAAGAAAAAGTCAAGTGGATGCGAGAGATTGCAAAGCAATGAAAAGGCAAGTTGCTAGAGTTTCCCATAAATGTTCTGAGTTACATCTCAAGAGACTGAAGACAACCCTGTATACATTCAAATGAAACACTCATCGTAGCAGGCAATTACATGACTAATAACAGAAGGAATATTATGAATCTATGATATTGGCCTTGTAAGAACCCCATCCTGTATACATTTAATCAAAAGAAATTTCTTACCTCTATTTTTTTTTCTTTTTTTCCTTGTTTTTTTGGGAGCTATTTTTTAGGATTTTTTTTATGGGTTTTCTGGAAAGTGATAAATTAGGTCGTCTTTATACTTTGGGAAATTATAGAAAAAAAAACCCTTTGTTTTTGTTTCAAATTTACTGCCAAAACCATTTTTTCAACTTTTTAAATGCCCAAAATGTCATTCACATGCCTAATAGGTTCATGATGGTCCCAAGCACCCACTTGGTTGCTTCCTAGATCTAGGAAGCAACCAAGTGGGTGCTTGGGACAGCTTATTTGGTCCAAGATGCACCATCGCGGACCTATTATGTCCGTAAAGGGGATTTTAGCCATTAAAAAACATGACAAAATAGGTATGATGGGCATCATAGACCCATTAGGTCCATGAATGACATTTTGAACCTTAAAACAATGCTAAAAATGGGTATGTTAGTAAATTTGGAAGAAAAAAAAGGCATATGTTGAATTCATCAAAAATAAAGAGATATTTTTTATAATTTCCCCCATATTTCTTGTTTATTTTAGAATCGTTTAAGTTGATTTTATTTCGTAGGATTATGGTTGGACGAGACTAAAAGGACATGGATGGCTAGGACTTCATAGGAACTCTTAAAGTTTTTTGGATTAATTGTTATATGTGGTGCTAAAGAGTTGAGAGGAGAGTTGGATTATTTACTTTTGTTATTAATATCTTTTGCGGAAGAAAATTTGAAGTGTGTGATGCCTCTTTTGTGTTGAATTCCTTAAAGTTAACTTTTTGTAGAATTGTATGTCTATTGGACTAATTACTAGTATACTTAGATATTTTTTCTAGACTAAATATAAGGGTCTGTGATGCAGTAAAATTGATAGATACAATAAAATCAGAAAACAATAAAATAAGCAAGAAAATGATGAAACTCAAGAATGTGTTTTTCAAAATTTTATTTTTATTTTTATTTTTTTTTCAGATATGTGGGTAGAATTTTGGGTTAGTTTTTAGGAATTTTATTTAGTAAAAGCTTTTTTGTTTTAAGGCTATGTTTTGTTTTTGTTTTTTTTTTTTTTTTTTTTAAGGATGTCCTTTGAGTTTTTTAGGGTCTCTTTTATTTTTGGAAAGCTAGAATATATTTTAGATCACATTTAGAGAGTTTGTTTCCTTGTCTTTTAAAGATTTACTTGAAAGGTAATTTATCTATCTAATAGAAGATTGACGAGAGAATAGGAAGTGATCTCGTAAAGGAGGAAGGAGTTCATCTGGTAGGGATATCTTTATCGCTTAGTTGGGAGCATCTTTTTAGAATGAAGAGCAATTATAAAAGAAATAAAAACTTACATTGTATGGGATGGCTTTTGGTGACAGAAACAAAACTTTATTGTAGAGAGTGAAAGAAAGTGTCTTCTCTTTGTTTTCCCTGTTGGTCTTCTTTCTTTTTTTCTTGTTCCCTGCATCAGTAATCAAGGAAACAAGCACAATTTGAAGAACCTAGGGTTTCTTCCCCAGCCCAGCTAGGGTTTCAATAGCCTGGAGCTTTTCCTTCTTTTTCAATTCTGAAAAGCACATGGAATGACTCCCTCAAGGCTCCACAGACCTCTTATATATATTTATTTAATGTTCACATTAAATGTCCAAGCAAAAATTAAAATGACCTAAAAAGTCCAGACGTAAACACAAAATTCATAATGAAAAGTTTACCCCTGTGAACAGTAACCATGAACAATACCCATGTGAACTGTAGTTGTGAATAGTAAGCAATGAATAATAATAAAAAAAAAAATTTAATTCTTCAACTTTTAAATTTTCAAATTTAAAAATATTTATCAATTTTTTTCAACAGCTTCCCACTCCAGGAATAAGTTTGATTCGACCAAATTGACGATTCGGATCGATCTGGTGAGTGACTAATCCAACCTCCCAGTCCAGGATTTAAATCACGTGTCTTCTCCAATTGTGTGAAATTAATGCAAGCAGGACAAGGACCAAAGATGGATCCTTAGAATGATGGGAAGCAAGAGAGAACTGTTTAAAAAAAAATTTAAAACATTAAAAAGAAAATGTAGTTATAGGGTTCGAACCCCCAATGTTTCTCTCAACCACACAATAGTCTAGCCAAATCAGCTCTTAGTTGAATAAAACAAAATGCATATATTATATCCTATATCCTTAAATTGCTTCTTTCTTTTTGCCAGATCATGGATCTGCATTGCTGATTCGAATGATCCTAATCAGGGTCAATGGGCGGGCAATCCACCCCAAAAATCCATTCTTTAAACACTATCTAAAAATTTAAAATTGTTATATTGCGGAGTTGAGAAAAGACTTTGATTATTTACTCCTGCTATGAGTGTTCCAATGGAAGAATATTTGAATTTTGTGATGCTTCATTTGTGTTGCATTCCTTATTTTATTTAGTTTCTACACAATTTCATGTTTGCTAGTTCAGTTACTTGTATTCTTTTTTTTCTTCAAGAATAAAATATCAAGGCCTGTCTCATGAAATCAATGTAGAGGAGTATCAGTCTGCTGACAAATACTGATCAGATGCAAAAATTAGTAATCATCAGCTTGAATAATAGAAATGAGTGTAGCAAACAAGTCCCAATGCTGTTAACCTTGAGCATCATAATCTGAGTCTTGTCCCAATTATCTGGGGTCAGCTAAATAGTCAAGATAATTGAGACAATTCTTACCTCTAGGGCCAAATATTGCTTTTATATTTGTGCAAGAAAAGGAACTTAAGAGTTACAATAGCATGCAATTTCCAGCATCATTACCACTGAATCTTCCTTTTTAACGGGGGATTATTTTACTATTTCCAATGACACAAATGTAAGTAGAAAATTAATAATAATGACGGAAAAAATGTATCTCTGCTGAAATAAAGAAAGCACTGCCTTAACTAGCTTATTTTATGATAGAAAACTAATTCGATTTTTTGCTTGGCAGAAATTGGTTGAAGGTCTGGTTATGTTCACGAGAATGAATTTCACATATCATTAGAGTACCCAATTATTTAAGTTATCAATAAAATGTTCATCGGGAATGGGTCGGGGTGAGAATTGACCCGATCCGGATCCAAAAACCCAAATTTGGACCTATTCAGATCCAAGAATGAACCCTAAATTTGGATCCGAAATCCAGATCCGAGTGCAAGTGGATCCAATCCGATTTTTTAAAATAGGATTTTATATATATATATATATATACGTTTTTTTAAATAGTATAATAGAGTAATCTCTATCCAATTTATACTATTCGAATCCAGATCCGGATCCAAATATCCATGACACGATCAGATCCGGATCCAAATCCGATGTATATATTCGGATTCGGATCCGGGTCCGAATCCACCCAGATCTGGACCCGATCCAACCCGTTCTCACCCCTAGGAATGGGACATCTAACACAGCCCAGAGTCGTATTTTGATTAATAAGCAAGCCCAACCATAGGAGGTTTTCCAAATCAAAAGAATCACACCAAAAGATATCCCATTAGAGATTGAACATCAAAACAGGAAACAAATACAAAATTCAAGGCTGCGACAAATAGAGGGAAATGTAGTGAGAAAAAAAAAGAAACATAAAGGGAAGAATATGAAGCATGCCTTATTCCGAGTTGCAAATTTAGCATTAGATCATAACTTCTATGGCCTTTAATGATTGCTTCTCCTGGTTTCTTGATGTCCTTCACAAGTCTCTTCGGCCACCTTCTCTTTCTTCTAGATGATAATGAAAAAATATTATTCAAGACCAGCTCACTGATCAAAACACCTTGCATGTACTCCCTTTCTAAAATAGGTACATCTGCATCTGCTTCATCATCATCACCTTCTAAAATGGCTTCCTGCAAGGACAAATTGTTTCCAATCACTTTCTCAAAGGAAGGGTCTAGACTCCAGCGCCTTTCTAAGGATACATTTCTGGGGCGACATTGCCCCGAATTTCTGAGAATGGATTTAGGAAGCTTATCCGAAGAAGCCCATCTTGATCCATTTCTCCTTTGAGCTTTGATCTGCCCTATGTCCACAGAGGAAGCATGGCGGATTCGTGAACTCTCTTGTGGCTTACGTAATTCTGATACCAACAGACCTCCCTTTCTCAAAGCATTATGGTACGACTCTTGTACAGCAGGAAGCCTGCCACCCTTTGGATAAAATGCACCTTTACCATCCTTCAAACCCTTGCTCCAGGTCCCGACATAGCAACCCCCATCTGCCCAAGTATAAACCCCAAACCCATGTATCAAGCCATTCAACCAGTTACCCTCAAATGAATCCCCATTTGTCCATGTAAGAACCCCTTTACCACTCATCTTCCCCCCTTTCATATTTCCAATGTAGACATTTCCATTCGCCCAGAAATATTCGCCAGGCCCTTCAATAATTCCATGATTCCAAGAACCTTCAAAGACATCTCCATTAGTATAGGTTCTCCTTCCAAACCCATGTTTCACATTCAATTGCCACCCTCCAGTATAAGTCATTCCATCAGCCCATATGAAGGTTCCATTCCCATGCATATAACCTCCCCAAAATTTACCTTCATAGGTCGCCCCAGAAGGCCACGAAATTTTTCCCTTACCACTTTCCAACCCTCTTCCCAACTCGCCCTCATAGGTGCAACCATCAGACCACACATATTTCCCGGAACCTTCTGGCATGTTACCCTGCAAAGACCCAGAATAGATTTCCCCATTGAGGAGAAACACTTCACCTATTCTACAGCTACCAGTTTCAAAAGATGATAGAGCATCTTGTCCATTACCCAATACAGGTGGATGCTGTTCTCTGTTGCTGAAGGAAATAGTACCGTCATGTAAAGATCTTGATTTCTCAGCATGGGAAGCCTCATTATTACCAACATGAACCACAAGGCTAGACATGCATAATGCAAAAGACAATGCCCTCTTTGACTACTGTAATGAATTTCAGACATTAACCACACGAGAGACTCAAGTTTTATGCATCAATGGAGTCCTCTTGAAGTATGAAATTTCTTCATTCCCATGCATAGACCTGAAATAAAACCAACTGGGATGTGAGACTCTATTAAAGTCAGCCTTGGCACCAAAAAGCAAAATGCAACACGCATTAAAAGAAGATTAGCTTGATAGGATTAGATTAACTAAACATCAACGATGAGACAACCATGACATTCATCAATAGGCTCTTAAAAAACCAACTCACCGTCATTTAGTATGGAAGAGTAGTTCAAGAAAATACAACATTTCACTGATCAATTTTAATGGAGGCATCAGTCCAAACAAAGTTCCAAACTTTTGCAGTGCCTCAAGCATAACAGCACTTCTCTTACCCTTACTCTGGAACGTACAACAGGATCCTGCCCAATTAATTTATTTCTGAACTTGGCTGATCCAGCCCACAAACATATAAACATTATATTTTCTATTATAACTTCAACAACCATTGTTTTTATAAATATAAGTAGCTTGACCTTAGTACCTTGAAGACCATCAGAAAGGTGGCCCAGATTAATACGAGGTGCCAGAGACGGACAGGCAAAACAGTATTATCATGTGAATGTTACTATCAGCAACCCCAGTAAATGGAAAGGAATTGCCATGTGAACCTCATAGTAAGTATTTCAAACACAAATAATTAACATTTTCTTGCATGTGTCTTCGTCCACAGCAAGTATGGACACCATATGTGAAAATTCTTAATCAGGAATGGTTTTTCTTTTTATTGTACACTGTTCTGCTATCACCATAATCTTTATTAGTGACAAAGAGAAACACATAGGCAGCTACACCTTTAAAGGGATGACCTCTGTTTCAAATGATAGCCAAAACATGCTTAAGTATAGGACCAAAATGAAATTACAAAAGTTTCAAAACATGAAATAACAATTCCTTGCAATACAAATACCACCATGTTCAACTCAAAAACTAATATGGAATAATCAGCAGCATATTCCAATCTCTTATGGTAATAACAAAGAAAAAATAAATTGAGAAGAAAAAATTAATGATTTTGAATAGGAAGTTCATCATCGTCATCATCATCATCATAGCCTTATCCCATTGGGGGTTAGCTACACGAATCCTATTCCGCCATCTGCTCTATCAAGGGTAATAGCTTCAGTCAAATCACCATAAGTCACCATATCTCGCCTCACTACTTCCTTCCATGTCCTTTTGGACCTTCCGCTCGCCCTTTTAGAGCCTTCCGCTTGCCCTTTTAGAGCCTTCCACTTGAACCAAATCCTCCCTCCTAATTTGTGTTGTATTAGGCCTACGCTGCATATGGCCTAGCCACCTAAGTCTACTTTATCTTATCGCCTATTGGAGCCACCTCTAAGTTCCCTCATATCTATTTAATCTGAATTCAATCATTTCTTTTTTTGTCACTCATCCTTCTCAACATCCTCATCTCAGCTAAACTCATCCTGTAGATATGTTGTTTCTTGACCGCCCAATATTCTGCCCCATAAAACATAGCTAGTCTTATAGCTATCTTGAATAGGAAGTTAATTTTCTAAAATACTAAGAAAACTTGCTTGACATTCAATTCTGACCTACCACGCTGCAGAACTCGTCATCCAACAAAAAAAGGTTACAAATGGTGGGTGACCACCATTTTGTCAGAAAGAAGATAAGAAACCTTTACTTTGGAGAAGTGATAGGATTTCACATGTTTCAACCCCATCACAACATATAGGACCATCATACAAAAGGGTAAAAATCTCTCTTCTCCGGGACGTAGCCAACTAATCGAATCATCAAACTATATGGAAAGTGTCAAACCATAATTGTTGGAAATGCCTGGGAACCTGAATCGTTTTAGGAATCGGAATCACGAAATCATAGTCGGCTAGAAGATTTTTTTTTTTTGGAATTGCCGAATCGGAATTCCGAACCAGAATTGCGACCTCGACAGAGAGATTCGGGTAACTGTGTTAAACATTTCTTTCCTTATATTCTAGGTTCTAGAAGTTGATGCTACATGGCACTCATGGTTCATTATGTAGCGGCAGAGACCTACCAACAAAACAAAAAGATACAAAACAATGCGTCAGAGAATCAGTAGGCACTGGTTCATTGGACATCAAGTTTAATCAAAATATAATACAACTCACAGAATTTTACAAATAGAACTACTCAGAAATGCCACGTCACTTAACATATTGAAGTTATGCACCACTTTTTCAACCAGAATTTAGTGAATGCCTATTAATATTTGGACACAGTTTTAGTGAGTCAGCCAACCCACCAAAACATGTGCTTCTCCTCATGTACGCCAACCATGTGCTTCTCCTCATGTACGAGACGTCCATTGTTAGCGAGGGATATCAAAAAATTATTTCTACCATACGTCAAGTCAAAATGGATGGTGGAAAAATATATCCAGAAAAATATGATTTTTATTTTAAAAAAATTAAAATGCAAAATTCTAATCACCATTATAGTTGAGATTAACACATCCCAAAATTTTAATCCAAAATCCATCTTAAAAAGACGAAGTTTGAAGGGGGGGCACACATCTACATGTGAGTCGGCAGACTCACCAAACACGTTTCCTTAATATTTTAATTAGAATAGATTGCAATAGGTATTACTTACAAAAAAAAAAAATAGATTTCAATAGGCATTTCTGGCTGCAATAAGAACCCGTACCATGCTTTGCGGCACTTGATACAGGTATGAACTTATCTCAATGACATGCTTGACCATCCCAGAGATGTTAGATAGATTGTCAAAGACTGAATGAGATATCTATGTCTCAAACCTTAGAACTTTTGGGAGGTTTGTTTAAGACTTATACCAAAACTACACAGGAATATAGGACCGAAAATTTCAATTATGCTCAGAATCAACAGCTGCCAAAACTGAATGAGATCACATAAAGTTCCCCAGTGGCCCATTGGTGTGCCATTCTAAATAATCTATAACTCTTTGAATCCAGTAATGGTTGAGAATATTTTAAATGCAGAAAACAAAAAATTCGAATCAGTTTGGGCCTGCACTATACAAAGCCATCTAGCAAGAAGAACAATGTGTACCTATTATGTTCATTGATCATTTATGCTAACAAATTCTCGAGTCATACACTTCACAACAACAGAGTTCAATGCAAATCTGGGAATCCACCCGCTATAGCATCCATAATTTTGAAAGTAAAAAAACATATCGTGCCAAGCACTCTTCCCTTTCATCCAGTCATATATCTAGAGATAGTTCAATAGAATTTATCATTGAGACGATAATTCCTAATTATGTCAGACTCAAAAAGATAAAATTTGCCGCAACATAGACATGCATTTGAAACCAGTGTTTACAAAATCGCCGATCCGATCCGGAATCGAGCGATCCGAAATCGAGCGATCCGGATCAAGTATCGGTGACACCGTTCCGAATCCACTTATAAAATGGGTCCAGGCGGTTTAGATCTGGTTCAGGCGGTTCAAATCCGATTCAGGCAGTTCCACCATTTTTTTGGCTTTTTCTATTTAAAAAATCCGATATGGCAGCCCATGTAATAATCCTAACGTCGTCACTCTCTTGTCTTTTATGCCAGCAAATCACGCGAGCGGCGTTGTACCATGTCCTTCATCCCATAGAGCTAGGGTTCTTTGAGTGGGAACAACTTTTATATGGTAAACTGCTCCCACATCTTTTCGATATGAGGCTAATTTCTTTATCTATTGTCTCCTCGTTGGCTGGCGTTAATAAAGTCCACTATTAAAATTAAAATTAAGCCTTTTTGCTATAAAAAATAACCCCCTTATTAGATATTAGGCATTACGCTATTGGTTAATAGGGATTAAAAAGCACAAAATAGTACTAGCTCATAGGATATTAGAACAACAAAAAATAATATTAATACTAGTTTATTGATCATTAAAAAAAAGTACTAGTTTATGGGATATTTTAAGGAAAAAAAAAAAACACTAGCCCAAACCACTTTAAAATCTATTTTAAAGTTGCTTTGTTAATTATCCCACATTGCAAGTATGATATTTATTTATTTTTCTAATTTTATTATAATGTAATTACAAATTTACGTTTCTAAATTCTATACTTTTGTAGATTTATTTATTTGTAAGGGTCACACCTTTGTTTTTTGAATCATGTTTATTATAATATTATAATTAATAATTATACATTGATAACCAAATCTTATATTTTATTTGTTTATTTATTTAGATTATAAATTATATAATGTATTACTTTTATTATAGCTGTAAATAAAAAAAATTAAAATTAAATGATATTATAACACAAATTTTAAATTTATTCATACGGGGAAAGAACATCTCAATATTTGCATATTGATGCAAAAGAATGAAAGTTTTTAACGTAGTACCCTCATTTCTTATTGGATTCCTAAAAAGCAATATTTATAATGATTTTTAATAATCTTTTTGGATTTTTTTTAAGGCCGAATCCGACCGATTCCCTATCCGAAATGTCGATTCACCAATCTGGATGGGTTTTTGGGGTGCCCAATCCAGGGCACCGATCTGTTTTTAAACCACTGTTTGAAACTAGTATATTGACCCAGAGGGACCAAAAAACTAACCAGATTATATGGTTCCAAACTCATATTGACTAATTCACTAGTTGAAAATTTTGTTAAGACAAACCTAGGATGGGAATACAACTAAAATTTGACAAAATATGAGATTCTATATAGCATATAGGGTGCTTGTCAATGCACAGTTATCAAGACATGAAGGAAGCAGATGGTCCAACCGATCTGAACGCCAACCTATGCTTTACCAATCTGGTCCAAAGCAAATTACAAGTTTAGTAAAAAACAGGTCAAAATAAATGTTTGACCGGTTTTGATCAGTTCGATAAGCCGATTTTGACCATTTAGAATGCTCAAACAAAGTCGGGCAATATTTTTAATATATTTCATATTTTAAAATTTCTTTCTATGTTTAAATTCCAATCCAATCGATTCGACTAGTGGTCTAATAGCTTTTAACTAGATTAGAATCATTACCGGTTTGGTGGCTCGTTTGATCCTAATAACACATTGTTCTAACT